ACAAAACTACTGAATATATGAAATAAAAGAAAATAGAATATGTTCCAGGTATAACAGATAAATAGAGGAACTCGAGTGTATAGACCAAATGGCGTCACTGGCATTGGGTAGTGCAAAATGCTGGTTTAGTAGACCACACTGTCAACTTGAGTTATTGGGTCTGCTAGTCTGATGTGAATTTCTGATTTTTTTTCTTATTGAAGCTGTTTGTTTCCATATAATATTTATCTGTTCACAGGAGCAAGCATTAAAACATGTACCCATCTCCTGGTCATGCTTTAGCCGTCAGTCTGCACAAGAATCTCACTGTCTCTGGCCCAGTGAGTGTTTGAACATTTAACACAAAATGGAACAGTTGAGTAAGGACAGGCTTAGAAAGCCCCTTTTAGATCGTCTCTGCCTATCTCAGGATCAAAATGCCTTTTTCTCTGCACTTCAGCTCACCATTATAACGATTACCAGGTCAGTGCTGCATGAAATGAAAGAATCTAAACAGATATGAGTCTCAATCTAGTGCTAAAACATTGGACAGATTGTGAAAAATTCCTCCTGTTATCTCACCGTGGTGGCTTTTGCAGGAACTTGGATGTTATAACAGAAGAGAAGTTTAAAACGTACCATTTTTTTGCTGAAAACTTACTAACTTTTCCTGTGGTTTATCACAAGACTAAAATTAGCTTGGCCAGATGCATTCAGTCCTTTGAATCACACAAGCACTGATTCTTCTGACCGGTTCCTAGCTGACAACTTAAATTGTTCGAACTTAGAGCAGTAAATGAGCAGCAATGAGTGTGATCTATGCACTGCCAGGAATGGGAAACACTATTGTATGTAGCCTGAAAAGAGGAGGGGAGACTGGACAATACCTGGTAGTTCCTCTGGTTCCCCTTGCCAGGCCCCTCGTGCTAAGGAAGTGAACCAGTTGAAGCACAAAGACAAGTGAGCTCTCTTTGCAAATAAGCATGGGAATATAGAACCCCCTCCCCCACTCAATTTTCCACGAGGGTTGCAAGACCCACTTAAATGAAAGGCCAACTTAAAAACCAAAACCTTGTTTTGTATTTGTCTTCCCCAGTAAGAAGGACCAAGTATTTTTAAATTTGATGTTTTCATAATGCTGGCTCTTACACAAAAGATGTTAGGAAAAACAAAACTGTTAACTCATCGAACAGCTCACCTGCTAATGTCTTTTCTCCCTCAAGTGCTTCACCATTTTTTGCATGAGGTGATCAATGCCTTAATGATTTGTCTGTAATTTTCCTGTTTAAAAAGCTCTAGTCATCCCAGCAAAGGAAAGACAAACAACCTTATATGGGACTCAGGAACAATGCTATAGGAGAAATGAGAAATACACACATGAATATTGGTAATTTTTTCATGTGAATGTCTCATGCTAAAATTAGTTTGCAGAAAATTAATTAGTAAGAATTAATACAGAATTAATTTGTTAAATCTCAGATCAATTTATCAAGTCAAAATGTAGACCACGGGTGCAATATTCTTTAAAGCAGTGAAAGCAATATTCTTATTTCACTATGTAAACATTTAGCGTTTCACCACTTGGGCATTTACTCAGTGAGATAAAGTTTATACAAATTACTAGAATGTTTTCTAAAACCAGTGCTGTAATACAATGTCCCTATTCACGCGTGATGTTCCACAGAGTGTTATGACCTTGGGGGTTCAAATGTGTAGTCCAATACCTTACTGCATGCCAGAGAGCCTCCAGCATCATCAAAAGTCACTGGAAGACACTTGAGTTTGCTCTTATGCCTTTGGTACCAACTCTCCACCAGACCTATGCGGCTCTTCTTACTTTCTTGATGTTGTGGCGGATGAGTTTTAAAGTGTCCTGGGGCTCCAGCTCAAAGATCTGTCATGCTCTTGGCTGAGGAATGCCTTGCTGTTAGCTGGCTACCTTCATCTCCCTTAAGTCCAGCCATGCTAAGGTAAAATGCAAGTATGTATTCATAACTAAAATAGACACCAACTCCTAAAATTGCTCCTATATTTATAAAAAAGAAATCAATCCACTTCCCGGAGGTTACCTCAGAGGGATGTCTCTCTTGCTGTCAGGATTGCAGGCTCTGCACATGCTATCCCACCTCTTAGAGGAGCATCTTAGTCCTGGTGGCCAGTCTCCCCTGGGAGAAAGGGTCAAGACAATTTAATCTTTTGCTAGACCTTATGTTCTATAGCAGTCTGTACATTAAAACCAAGCAAGCTACAAACATCTAAACAGGTTATTTTATGTAGCTCATTACTGGCTTTTGGCTGAAACATGACCCTTTGGGCTTATGTTAATTAACCATTTTTGGGTGACAGCAGGCTTGGAGTGACAGATACCCAATTCCCTCCTCTTAGGCACACTGTAACTGTAAGAAATTTCAGTGTGAACATGTGGAACAAATTGCAAATGGGATATCAGTGCGCAAAGGCAAACATGGCCGTGTATAATCATTAAATAATTCAGTACAGGAAATTGCACTGGCCTGCATTTTCCAAGTTGCAAGACTATGCAAGGAAAGATACGCATTTCAGGCTGCAGTTCCACAAGCACCCTGAGTCAAGCCGATAGCTTGTCACTGCCCAAAGCAGCTTCTTCCCCCTTTTCCTCTCCCTCTTCCTCCTCTTTTGTTCCTGCTCCAAGCTGCCCAGGCCCACTCCACCTCACTGCCAGCTCCGGCTCTCGTTGGACCCTACAGCCATCTGCACAGCTCTGCTCACTGGCCCACAAGAAGCTCCCACTTTCTGGTACTCTTCTGCCTGTTTAGTGAATTGAATTGCAGCAAGCAGAAGTCCTAAAAGTGGGGAAACTAGCATAAGACGCACTGTAGATTGTGCCGCCAGAGCTGAGAAGAACGGCATATCCCCTTTTAGCAGCCGTGAATGGCTTAATCAGCCAAACCCAGGTGATGGAGTCGAGGGCTTACCCAGTGTAAGTCCGGTGTGTACAGTAACTGCAGTGTACAGTAACATTCTCTTGAAATTGTCTTTCCTTCAGTCGTATGATAAAGTGCTTGATAAAAACTACTGTGTAAATTCTTTGTCCTAAAGATAAGGTCAGATGAGATGGTTGTTTCAATTCCCTTTTTGTTTCCAGCTCGGTGAATCTGTACTTTGTATGTTTGCAGTATGAGTGGAATTAGAGGGTGTTTGCAAGTATTCAGATTAAATGCATGTCTTCCAAATTTACAGCAAGAAAGCTCAAGCAGTAGTGGTTACAGTCCTAAGGTGTCCTCTCTCCCTGGCCCGTTCCACAAATGAAATGAAGGCAGATTCTGTTTTTCTCCCTTTGGCATCCATGGACGTCTAGTGCTCTTTGAGACCCGCAAAGGCGCTCATTAGAATGACTACACTGGGTGGAACCAAAGGTCCATCTAGTCCAGTATTCATCTCAGTGGCTGTAAACAGATGCTTAGGGAACAGCAGGGAAAGCATATATGAAACGTCTCACAAGTGCTTGCCTTGCTTCCAATTATTTTTAGAACAGAGAATTTCCTGAGCTGGATGTGGCTGCTGTCTGCTTAGTAACCCTCTGTAGATTTCTTTTCCAAGTACTTGTCCAGTTTTCTCTTGACTCCACGTCCATTCTTTTACATCCAGAGCCTCCTTTGGTAATAAATACCACAAGTCTACTATGGGCCATGCAAAGAATCACCTCCTTCCCATTGTCTGCGGCCTGGTTACTACTAGGTTCACTTGATCGCCTCTTAGTTCTTCTCTGGGTTCTGAAACTATCCTCTTGGTCCGGAATCAATGACAAAATTGCATACACTTAAGTGCATGCAATTCCCATGCACACAGAGTATGTGCAGGCAGAAATAAAGGCAATGAGTGGGCAATCAAGGTATATCTTAATTGCACGTGTTTGTAAATGAAAACCGTGCTTGGACCACTGCAGAAGATGCCTCCTGGACTTTTTTTTTAAAAAGGCTGGGGGTTTTTCCCCCATCAAAAATGTTGACAAACAGTGCTCATGACCTTGCACTTTACTTCCCATTGCCAAGACTAAACGCTGAGATAAATGCTCCTCTGCCCTCTCAGGAATTCTGCATCCGCTGTCGCCTGGAGACAAGAGGTGAGGTGGGCAGGGGACCAATGTCTGAAAACAACCCCTGGGTAGTAGGTGAGCAGAAGTCAGGAGCGTGGGAGAGCAGCAGCAGTTTTTGAGGGCGAAAATCCGGACCAATAGCTCCCTCTCTGCCCCCCCGCATCGCCA